CGCTCAAGTCCTCCCATTCACGTCTGTGTTTTAGAGTGTGTTCTGGAAGAACGTGACCTCACTTTGTGGGACAGTAGGTCGAGGGCTCACACTGCTGTGAGAAGGGTCCATCCGCCTGTGCAGGATACAGAAGCTTGGCGGACAGCCAGTTCCTCTACGCCCATTCCCAGGAGCAGCCCGGTCTGGTTCTGTTAAACACCTACATGGGAAAGCACGCTCCTGAGACCACACGGGAAGCTTGGGCCTCAAGACACCCCACAGAGGGGACACCACAGCCAGTGTGGCCTCCAGCCTTCAATCTCAGAACCACAAGGCTTCCTGTGAGACACAGTTCAAAAAAAGTCTCTTCCCCTGGTGTGGTCCATGATCCACATCACATCCTTAGGCTTCAGGCTGGATCTGCTCTGAGCTGCTTCCCGACAAGACTCAAAGCTTTACCTCTTGCCCCCAAAGCTGACACAGAATGTACTTCCCCTGAGCAAAACTGCAACTGGGTTGCCAAGGCCGAAAATAGACATTTTCAAACTTCAACCAGCATGACTCACCTAGAAGGCGCTCAAACTACAGGCTGCGAGGCAGCACCCTGTTTATGACGGGAGGGCCAGGTGGGGCTCCATCACCAACGTGACTGATAGTTCCAGGAGGAGCTGAGCCTGCTGGTCTAAAGGCTGACCATGATAAGGTCAGATTAAAACCTTCACCTTGGCATCCAGGCCTTGCACAACATGGCCTCTGATTATTGTACCAGCTGCACCTCTCCCCAGGGGCTGCCCCACTCCAAGAGCAGCAATGACTCTATGAACTGAAGTTCCCTAAAGAAGTCGCACCTACACCGAACATTCCACAAAAACCGACCAACGGACTGGAACGTCAGTGAATGGGGAAGTTTGAACGCTGCAGAGACAAATTATCTTAGGCCGTCTTGGCCCCATTAAAAAGCCATTCGTTGCCCACCTCTGTGTGTGACTTAATATCCTGAGATTACTACACGAGCCCTTTTAGAAAGCATAAACAGCTGTCATCAATCCAAAAGCTAAGAGCTGTCAGGCAGCATCTAGGGCTATAAGAGAAATTTCCCCAATTTGCTGTAATTGATTACCTGAGGTTCCCACCAATGTGTGGATGGTGGATAGGAGAAAGATGAACGGAGTGATGGGGGATGGGGAGGGATGGATGGATGGAGTGATGGGGGATGGGGAGGGATGGATGGATGGAGTGATGGGGGATGGGGAGGGATGGATGGATGGATGAATGGTGGATGGAGAGGGATGGATGGATGGAGGGATGGGGTGAGATGGACAGATGAAGTGATGGTGGCTGGGGTGAGATGGACGGACAGAGTGATGGAGGATAGGGAGGGATGGATGGACGGAGTGATGGGGGATGGGGAGAGATGGACGGATGGAGTGATGGGGGATGGGGAGAGATGGACAGAGATGGTGATGTGATGGTGGGTAGGGTGTTTCAACTAAAAGGGCAAAGGTACAGTAGCAGGCATGGCACCCTAACTTATTTTAAAACTCTATGTATGAAAACATATAGAAAATACATTTTGAATGAGTGGGCCCTCTGGCAAAAGAAAAATTCAAGTAGCTTTCATTTTTTGCTTTTCCATATGTTCCCATTATTCTTCAGTTACTACCCAAGTGACATCAGCCATTTCTTCTTTCTCTAATTGTTTAAAAACAATTATTACTATTACTCATAGACAAAAATCTATGTCCTGCCTGGTCCCAGAGTCGTTCAGTACCAAAGAAATACACAGAAGCTTATATTAATTGTAAACTGTTTGGCCTATTAGCTCAGGCTTATTATTAACTAGCCCTTATAACGTAAATTAACCCATAATCCTTGTCTATGTTTAGCCACGTGGCTTGGTACCTTTTCTCTATAAGGCATTCTCATCTTGCTTCCTCCGCCTCTGGCTGGTGATGGCATGGACCTAGAAACTTCTGTCTACAAATACTACTACTACTATTATTATTATCATTATCATTATTATCTGTGTGCAAATGCACATGCCACGGTGGACATGTGGAGGTCAGAGGACAATTTGAGAGTCACTCCTTTCCTATCTGTATGTGAGCTCTGGGAACTGAACTCAGGTCCCCAGATTTGCACAGCAAGCACCATCCAGCCCTGAAAAACTAGTTTTCAAAGCAGCTCCAGGACACAGCTGAAGTCTGCTGTTCATCTGTTGTTATTTTCTGTTGACTGAAACCCTGAAACAAACACAACAACAATAAACACAGCAGAAAGCGGCTCCAAGAATCAAGACGGAGGAAACATAAAGTCTGGCTTCATCCTCCTTGGCCCTTTGGTTCTGAGCAGAAGGCTCGCCTATCTGTGCCTCTGTTTTTTCCTCTGGAAAAGGGGACCAACTAGTGACTCTTCCTGTCCTGCTCCACCCCCGGGGTCCCAGGTGACAGGGGACAAACAGGGCTTTAGAAGCTGAAGTTGGCTATATGGATTTTATTTCACCACTTCTGCCCAAGGGGCTCCCCCAAGAGATGCTCAAACAGTAAAACGAAAGATAAAAGCAACAGGGTGGAGTCCAGGGGTAGGGGAAGATTGATGGGGACAGAGCCCAGGGTGCGAGGAACAGCAAGTGAATGGGAACAGAGACTTAGGGGTGCAGCAAGTAACAGGGACAGAGCACTGAAGGGGGACAGCAAGAGATGGGGGACAGAGCCTGGGATCTCCCCTGTTACTGGGGACAGAAGCCAGGGACAAAGTCTGGGGGATGGGAAGTAAGTGACGGGACAGAGCTCTGGAGAGGAATAGCAAGTGACAGAGGGTATAGCCTGGGGTGGGGGAGCAGCAAATGACAGTGTGGGGGGGGGGGGGGGGGGGACAAGTAACAGGGCACAGAGCCTGGGGGCCAGCAAGTGATGGGGACAGAGCCCTGCAGGGGGAATAGCAAGTGACGGGATGGGGGGATTGGGCTGGGGGGCAGTAAGAGATGAGACAGAACCGGGGGACAGCAAATAATAGGGGACAGAGCCCTGAGGAGGCAGCAAGTGACAAGGGACAGAGCCCTGGGTAGGAGGAGCTATGCCGTGGCCTATGTATGTCCCCCAAGAATGCAGACACTGGAAGCATGGTCCCCAGTGTGGCGATATTAATGGGAGGTAACATCACCTTTAAGAGAGAAGATTCATCATGAAGTCACAGAGGCAGGCCCTAGGAGAGGACTGAGGAGGAAGGAGCTCCTGTCTGGGACCTTAGGAGCTCTCTAGCTCCCAATATCACCATGAGATTTTCTTCAACAAAATCCTCCATGATTCCCACTGACCTGAGCCCAGCCAACCTTCGCACCACAGTCCGGAACCGCCAGAGCTGTGTGACAACTAGTTGTCTGGTGTTCAAGAAGCTCCTCCTTGGGCATCTCACAGAAATGGGCACCAGACTAACTCAAGCTGGGAAGGCCAAGTCCCTGTCCCTTGGCCACTGGCTTCCTCCTGCCTGCGAGGTGAGAGAGCAGGGGGCCTTGTGAACTCTACCTTTTCCTAAACAGCCAGATCTCTTTCTCCAGGGAACCAGGTTTCTACACTTAGCAGGAGTAAGTCAAGCATTCTGTCAATATAAAGCCAAGACTACTGCCCACTGGGCATGGGAAATGGCAAAGCACCCCTGGCCAACAGCAAGCTCCCCAGTGTTCTGAGACCCTACTAGACATGGAAAACCCTCCAAACACACCAACCCACCACAGCAGTGTGCACCATGCCTAAAACATCCCTTTCCGATCAGTGCACGCTTCTAAACCGCCCCTCCCAGCCACAGTGGCAAGACCTGGGCTCACATAGCCCCAGTCATGGCTGAGATGCCTGGCACCTGAGGACCCTCAGCCACATCTCCAAATGTCTGCAAGATTCTGATACTGCCAGATGCACCCAAAATTTACTCGAGATGTTTCTTACACACACATCACTTCATTTCCTTGGTGTCCAGATTTTGGAGGGATATTATTTACATAAGTGTGTGCATGTATATACATGTATATGGGACACACACACACACACACACACACACACACACACACACACACA